TATGCAAATTAACCGCCATCTTGTTGGCAGTTAACTGCTAATCTTAGTTGGCAGTTAACTGTCAATCTTAGTTGGTAGTTAACTGCCAATCTTAGTTGGCAGTTAATTTGCATATAGCCCTGATTAGCCAATGAAAAGGGTATTGGTCGTACGCCAAATACCATTTTTGTCTTTTATTAGATAGGATTATTTGACAATTTAAGGGAAAAGAGATCACTGCCCCTGACTAAATAGACAGGTATTGCATGTTTTAAAAATTCTTGTGGCACATCAGTTGAAAATCACTGCCTTAAAGTATAAAATAATAACAGAGTTAGTACATATAATTGAAAAAACATTGCAGTGATTGTGTGACAAATATTGAGAGTTTTGGTGATTCTGTGGATTCAAACCAAGGGAGAGAAATGATGCCATGAACAAAAAATTGCAAACTCAAGCAGAAGAGCTAGTTTTAGGAGAAAACTAACGGCTTCAGTTCTAAAACTATTAAATTTTGTGGGGGGAAAAAGACTATGTACAAATAAAATTTACACAAAGATTGTCTTTTTAGCTCAATTTCAATTTTTCAAGTTGTTTTATTTTCGAAACTCATGAAGGGGATTCAGCCAATATACTATTAACGTAAGATTTTCCTTAATTGAGTTGGTAGGAAAAAAACAAACAGATGGCTATATTATCTTTATTGCTCTAATTCTCATTTTCCTTTGAAAAGATTCTCAAAATAAGTAAAAAATATGGTGTCTTGAATCACCTCTCACTTTGCTGAGGAACATAAGTAATGTAAAGAAACTCTTCTTTCTCTATTTAAAATGTGGTAGCATGGAAGTTGCCTGTATAAATCCATGCCCTCTTTATAGAGGCATAGGCAAGATACTTAAGACATTGAGCTGGGTTTCTTCAGAATGAAACCAGAATCTCTTGCACTTTAATAATTATTCATGCAATCAATATTGATTGAGCTGCTACTGTGTGAGAGGCACAGTATATGACACGTCAATGTATGCAGAGAAGAATAAATTATGGTTTCCGTTCAGGAGCTTAGAATCTAAGAAGAGAAGGGGCACATGCTAATCGATAAGAGAAGGCCGACTTTCAGTGCTGAAGGAGCAGGAGGTTACTCATTCTTTTATTGATTTCAGAGAGAGGAAGGGAGAGGATAAGTTAGAAACATCAATGAGAGAGAAACATTGATCGGCTGCCTCCTCCATGCCCTCTACTGGGGGTCGAGCCCCAACCCGAGCATTGCCCTGACCAGGAATTGCACTATGACCTCCTGGTGCATGGGACGATGCTTAACCAACTGGGCCACACCAGCTGGGCTGATGGTTGCTCATTCTTTGGACCAATCAAGCACAGGTTTGTGAAAAAGCTGACATTAAATATTGGCCTTATTGGCATTTGAGTAGGCAAAGAGGCAGGTAGAAAAGAGATGGATAGAGAGGGACATTTCAGACAAGGGGATGCTGCGCTCTGTGACAGCACTGAGATCATGGTGAGCACATTTGAAGTTCCATCAAGTAAATCTGCATGTTTTGAATGGAGAATTGGAGTGAGAGACTACTGAAGGGGAAGAGGGGAAGAGGGGTGTGAAGAACTGGAACGTTAGAAATTTGAGTAAAAGCCAGCAAGCACTGGATTTCTGTGAGAAAAGAAGAGATCTGGCCTGCTCTGGCAGTGGAGAGCAGGGTAATGTGTGGGGTGAAGACAAACACTAGCACCAGGTTTTTCAGTATTTCTGTATAGCGAGTGCCTGAACTGGGATGTGTGCAATGGAGGAGGAAAAGGAACCGGTGCAAGACACATCATTTGAGTTGTCTAATTACTGCGGTTGCAAAGATTTCTAGCCAAAAAGATCCAGTGAATAAAAGCTTAGAATGCTTAACGGAGGACTTGTGAACCACAGACTTCGGATGGATCTCCTCTGTGATCAAAGAGGTACTATCAGCAGACAGACCTGCCCAAGAAAGGCTTATCGCCTTACAGATCTTGAAAGTGCTGTTAACTGAGAAAGGCCTGGCAGAAAAATAGAAGCCACAGTCAGATTGATGTAAGGTTTACTGCAGGCCGTTCCAAATAGATTGTAGCCTGAGATTTTTAAGTAGGAACACACAGGTTTCTATGAAACTAAAAGGAATAGACATATTCTCCCCTGTGTCTACAAATTCTTCTTGAGCTGGTTTTAACATTGGCTTTGGGGGAAAGAAAGTAAAATGTAAAGATGGATATTTTAAACTAGTTTCCTTCCTTCCTACCTTACTGTTTTCCCTGTTCCCATGCCTCCCTTAAAATATTTCCTTCCCACCCTCTCTCTTTTTCTCTCTCCTTCTCTCCGCTCCTTCATAGACACAAATTTATTTAAAACTGAAATGAACTTGAAGATAATGTCTTGTGTTATTGTTAGGATCAATAACATTTCAAAACAGAAAATAGTTTAAAAATACAGATATATACATAATTTACTATGACCCATCTTTTTTATTATGAATGAACAAATTTTCAGTTAAATTGTAAATAAAAAGTAAGTACCTGGTCATTTATCTATAAACTACAAAAATGAACCTTTGCTTATTAAGCACTTTAATTTTGTTTCAAAAGCTTT